TATTTTACAGCAATCAATTGACTAAACAGTGTTGGCATTGTATATTCTTAATCGCATCTGGCATTGTTGTGAACAAACAGGAATTTTCAAACAAGCATACACTCTGTTATTAACCAATTAACAGTATCAGCTTTCCATTAATCATATATATTCCTGTGCTACAAAGCCAGGATAGAAAGTCTTACAGATACGTCTGTTTCGACGACACCAATGAAGCCGACGTTTCTACCGATAATACATATACTTTCATTACTCTATACCATTATAATCACTTTTTGTAGCGCTTTTATTTTTCTTACTGTATTGTGATTCATTTTTTCTCTCTGACTATCAGTAACAGTGAGCGAATAACTGATCGTACAACTTTGTGTGTGTACACCAGCCTGATTTCGATCTGCCGATAGTCTTCACAAGGCAAATAATACGTTAGGGTTTTTAGAAAAGTTTTCCGAAAACCTTTTGAAGGCTGACTTTTAGAAAACATTTTACTTTCGACAAAAACACAAATCTAAAAATAGTTTCAATAATACCAAGAAATAGAGCAAACATTTCTGATCAAAATGAGATATCTTCCAGCTCTGAATGATGTTCCAGTCAAGAGTTATGAGAGTTCTGCTGGAAGCCCTAGAACACGCATCAGATACTAGCGCCACTATATCTCGAAAGCGACTTTCACCTTAACACCATTTTGTAGCTGAAGATTTTTCGGTAATGAAGCATCGCAGAGAGCTCGAGAAGGTCTTAAGCTGAAGCTGACAGATATGGCTAGAAGCTAATAGAGCCGATTTTTGATATTCGATCTAGATTTGTAGTGAGAAAAATATCTTTAAGCAACTAAGGCCTCCTCCCCCTCAAAAATTATCTCCTACACCGTACATCCGATCTTGACGAAAATTTTCTTAAATGTTCGACACAATGAGTTACGGGAATGAAAAAATTTTTTTGTCTCCAAGTCTTACGGTTTAGGAGTTTTATAGAGTTCAAGGTCCACAAAGGACCCTGAATTGCGCCTCAAGATTTTTCAATATACTTCAAGCTGGAGAGTTCGGATTTGTATGATTTTAAACTAGCTACATGGATTGACCGGTGCCGATTTTTCAACTATGCCTTTATTGGTTTTCCAGGCAATCAACAACCTCCAAAACCCGAAAAAGCCTTCCGAATTTTCTAAAAACTCTCCGTTTGCCAAAAAACTAAGACCTAATTAAAGAATGAACTCTCTACGACAAACCGCTGTTAAAACTCTTGGGACGCACTTCAGGTGTAACTCTTGTATAGTGAAAACGCTGTATGAAATACTCGATTTTAAGACTTCTATGAAAATGCCTGTAACTTGTTGATGCAAGGTCATACAGAGTTGTGCGAGGTCTTAGTTTGATCAGAAACGTTTGCTCTACAAATCTGTGTTTTCAGAAAAATTTAAATTGCATAACTATTATTTGAAGAATCGGTTGTTCAAGGCTCTTAGAAAACTTGCTCAAAATCCCCGAAAAATCAGTTTTGTAACCAATAGCAATACAGATTCTGGAAGTAGACATTTCAGACTAGCTTTCCATGTGCGCATCCCAAAACCAATTTTTTGACCGAAAATCATCATTTCTGAGGGGGAGCCCTTAACGAGACTTCAACCAGATGAATGAGAGAGAGAGAGAGAGAGAGAGAGGAACACGGAAAAAGAAGGCCCTAGTAACCAGACGAACAAGCAGAGCACAAGCTCTGTATACTGAGCAATGAACGCCAAAGCGTGATTGCGAATAGCGACAGCCGTATCCAAGAACTGAGATATGTAGGAACTGCTAACCTATCCAGGTATTGTCAACAGAGTCATAATTCCTCGAGGAACTGAGCTTCAATTCTCCCAGTCTTCCTGAGTCTTGCAACATCCGAAAACCAAGATGATGCTTTGTCCACAACATGTGTCACTCCTACACCCACCTTGGATGGAGAGATAGGAAGTTCTGAGTGTGTACGTGTGAGAAATGTTATGAACAATACCTGTATCTGGTTTTTGGATGTAAGGGAACTCAAAGGAAGTGGGAGAACTGGCGGTCAATCCTTCGATTCCCCTGCAAATTATCATGATGCTGTTAACAATTTCCTTCGTCGTTAGTGTTTGAATTTTTGTATGTGACACTAAATGATAATTGTCTGTCTTTGAAATCCACGTAGCATAGATCTGAGCGAGCTTGAAAGTGAAAATAACTTCTTTCCCAGGTAGACTTTAACCGTCAGTGTCGCAAAGTTTGTTTTACAGAGCTCTTATTGCACTTTCGTGTTTAAATGGTCTCTCTTGTTGTAAAATACTTTTAACTTATGTTATTCTTAAGAAATTACGATGTACAAGCTAGCGGCTACCAATGGATACACCTGGAATTATGTGATCTATACTGGTAAGCAAGATCCTATGGTAGGTCTTGGGATGCTCAAACAGTGGTAATGAATTTATTGGATGGCCTTGAGGGATGTTATCGAACTGTGGTAGCTGACAACTTCTTTACCAGTATTTCTCTTGCGAAACGTTTGTTTGAGCATGATACGTATCTTATTGAGACACTGAGAAGTAATCCTGCCGGATCGGGAAGCAAAGTTGTTCAGAAAAACCTTAGACGCGGTGAAGTTTACGGGCTCCAGAATAAAGACGGCGTAAAATTGATCATGTGGAAAGACAAAAAAACGTCTTGATGATATCAACAAGACCGTCGCATTCAGCAACTGTGGTGGATACTGGAAATACCAATAGTAAAAATGAGCACATCATGAAGCCACAAGTTGTACTAGATTACAACGAAGGAAGACAAGGTACTAATTTATCTGATTAGCTATCAGCATATTACACGTGTCTCAGGCGATCAATAAAATGATACCGAAAGGTAGCATTTGAATTGGTTTTTGGGACGGCGTTAGTAAATAGCTATTTGATATATAAGGAAAATTATGCCACAAGCAAAGTGACCGTTCTACAGTTTCGCGAAAGTCTTGTCCGATCTTTATTGCTTGGCATACCATTCGAGAAGCTGCAATCGGGTCGAGACAAAAATCAACAGGCCAAACGAAGCGCAAGCTCGCTGATCGCCAGCTCGAAGAAAAAGAAGGATCTGCTCGCGATGTCCGAAGACGCTGTGCTGGCTGCTATGAGAAAATCAGGCAACAGCAATCAAGAGAAGCGAGCTTGGCAACAGCAAAAAAAATAAAAACCTTCTGTTCTGATTGTGACAAGTTTTTTTGTCTTGATTGTTTTAACGAGAAACATTTCGCTATGTAATAAATGATTCAAAAAATAGCTTAGGCAAAGCAGAAAGCACATAATGTGTAAGCTACTGCCTAAGGAGAGGGGAAAACAAAGTATTTTTCTGTTCAATTTCTTGTCAAACTATAGTGTGTCCCGGTGGCTCTCATCGTGGCGAATGTGTTAAAACTATTAAAGCAAGTAATATTTATTGTGAGTGTGTTTGAAAAAAGTGAAGGAAGGAAGTTGGTGAACGTTGTCACTATTGAATTTGCTAGATTTTTTTATATTACTTAGAAAATAGTATCTTTCAATAGACATATGATGGACTATGTAAAATAACATGTTTTATTTCTGGATGAGATTAAACAACTGAATTCCAGTACAACAAAGAAGAAACTTTTGGTGAAATAAAAACTAAAAATTCTTTCGAAAACAATAAAAAGAAACATTTTTGTGACTTTTTAGTTATTAATTTTTTTGATACAATCGAGAAAATACAACTCATTTAGACAATTCACAGTGGGCAATTTTCACTAGGCACGTGGTCTTTTGGCCTGCAAGCTAGAGGAAAGCTTAAAAGCGCGTTTTTATGGGTTATCTTGTGTGCTCTATCTAATGGAATGCTTTCTGAACTCTAAAAAAGTTTTCTAAGTGGCTTTTCAGAGATCCGGTCTTCAGAAAACCACTCAGAAAACCTTTAAAAAACTCAAAACCAATTGCATTAGATAGAGAATCATCGATAACCTCGAGAAATACTGTTCAGACGCTTTCATCTGCCGATAATTTCAAATTTTAAAATTTCAGTCAAAAATCCCTATACGCACATGCAAGAAACAAAGGAATCAAGTAAATTCAAAAGTGTCCATACAAATACGGCTGAATTATACACCGTTCGATGCAGTTTTTCCGCTGATTCCAAATATCTCGTTATTTTTTAATTTAAATATTAATGAATCTAGAAAAACCTAATTTATTTCAAAAACCGGGGGTTTTTTTGGAAAATCTATAATCCAATCCAGGAGCATTTGCGCTAGTTTGCGCTATCAATATATATGGATCGTTGGTAGGTCTACCTTCGGTAAAAAATTCGTTAAATTTGAAGCGTCGAACCGATTACACTGAGCACACATTTTCGGAAAACACGTAGCAAAAAAAGAAACCTAATTTTATCGGTCATGGAAAAGCCAAAACAGAAATTTTTTTACGAATGGATAGAGCGAAATGCCTGGTTTTAGACTACGTAAAATTTTAGTAAATATCGTCTATTGTTTCGTCGCAAAATGATTTTCTATCTTAGCTGCTCTGTTTTCTTAAAAAGAATTCACCGTCGATTTTCCAGCTAAAACTGACGCCTAAAAAAAACTTGCAATGGCAAAGTTACAGTGTGTATGATGAAGTATATGCTCTGCTATTCAAATCTCGAAAAATCTCACATTCGTTTTTTCACCTAATGTCCACATGGTTGCCCACTGAGCAATTCTGGTTTCGATTTGTGGAAAATACTGTTTTGTCAAACACTGTATCCGTTTACCATAAACGTAGCTATTTTTTTATCATAAAATGATACTCTTTTAGATGTACATATTCTTTTTGCGGTTCAGTATCCCTTTTGATTTCTGATTCTTTTCTTTTCTATGAATGTTTCAATTGTTTGTTATAGAATTATCAACGAATGAAACTGGGTAATCATTGTTAACCGCTAAACTTCGTATTATTTGAAATTCTAGGTGAAGTAGTCTATAGTTGCTGTAGATCTTAATTGCTCTATATATCAAAGTACGGAATGTACATTTTGTACAACAACTTCGAGTCTGATTTTCTTTACCGCTGGTTTTAATTCGGTAATCAAGGTCAGTTTGGTCGTGACTTTGCGCCAGTCCATTGCCTGAACTAATTCGTTCCATATGGAATAATCCAAAGGATTAAAGTCTGGACTATTAACAGGCCAACGTTCTTTGCTAATAAACGACGGCAAATGTCGACGACACCATTCTTGCGTTAAATGATGTTTATGTGCAGATGCATTATCCGGTTGAAATGTCCAACCGTCACCGAACATCTTGGCGCCGAATTTCTTTGCCACTGGAAGTACTTTTTCGATGTGAACCATGTGATCAACCGAACCTTCATCTAAGATCACCAACGGTGTCAGACTTTGTGAACATGCTCCCAGCCAAACCATAACTTTAGTTGGGAACTTTCGCCTTTTCCGGACACCGCGTTGGTTATTTGCTTCCGCACAGTTTACGGCCCAAATTCGGTCATTTGGTGACTTATAGACACCATCAATGTCGAAATTCTTTTCATCGGAAAACAAAACTCTTCTCAGATCTTCTCTTCTCAATGTTCATTGAACCCATGTGGCAAATTTTTTTCTGTTAGCTTTTTGTTCATCAGTAATCGCCGGTTCTTTGATGACTTTGTAGGCATGACCCTAAATCATATCTCAAGATTCGATGATATGTTGAGTTTACGCGCCACCTTTCTTTCCGACACCCTCTTCCCTCTAGCCAACCGCTGTTTGGCTTTTCTTATTGTTGCTTTTGTACAAGCAGTACGTTGACGACCTGGTGGTTTTGATAGATTGATGGAGCGGGTTTGTTGAATCACTTTTATTCGTATTTGAATAGTATCTAAGGATAAAGCACCATTCAAATCACGGAAGATTTTTCGTGGATGATCGGCTGATTGACGGTTGCTAAGTACGACGTTTTGGAGATCTTTACTTTTCATCTTATCGACAACATATCTGAAACAGTGTAAAGGTCATTGAGTATACCATTTTGTAGAGAATTTTTCAATTTCAATCAATTTGTTAGAATTATAAGAATGGTCTGTAAGTACAAATGTATTGTCTATATATCTACGCCCGTAGGCAACACCCAGATGTTGAAACGTATTCATTAGAGAATTAGGTACTTCTGCCGCGCTGCACGAAATTTGATTAAAATAAGGTGGCAAACGCAGAATTTCTTGGTGAATTTGACAGCAAGTTCATTGTAATTCTATTCTGACTCGATTTCTGATGTCGATAAAATGTGTGTGGTTTCTACCTGAATTTTGGTACTCTCATTGACGCGTTTTTTCTTAACTAATCAGAGAGCCAAAATTTAGGCAAAAATCACGTATATTGCGTGGACCCCAGAGAACAAGTCAAAATAGAATTACGATGAACTTGCTGTCTGATTTACCGCAAAATTCTACATTTACCATATTATTTTTATCAAAGGTCAGCACGACAAAAGCATTTAATTTTTTAATGTTTGTGTAGTCTTTCAAAAGTCATCATAAATAGTTCTGATAATACTGTTGCTAAAGGTGACCCCATAGACACACCGTCTATCTGATCGTATAATTGACCGCTGAAGTAAAAATATGTATTCTTTGCTGCAAAAATTAGTGATTGATCGAAATCCTTATAATTTATTGTTGGTTTAAATTCAGAATCATATAAGCTCATATAAGTATTTAACAACAATATCTGTCGTTTCGTTGATTGGTACATTCGTAAATACACTAGTAATATCGAAAGATGATATCTGACATCTCATCGAGAGATTAACCTGATCTCTTAATTGTTTCACAAATTCATATGATGCGTTGTTATCGAATCATTACATTCTAATTTATTTAATATTTGTGCAAGGGTAATTACTCAGTCGATAATTAAATGTGCCTATGAAAGAACGAACATTCAATGCTCTTGTTTAATTTTCTTCTCTGGAGATTGGTTTGACCGACAAACAGTTTTGTAAATGTACTGTCATCATTTAGATTAAGTGTTAGCGATTTCATGGCCGTACTTGTCTTGTTCTCTGTGTATAACACTAACTAGTAAGTATCAAGTTACTTTAATATGAGGAAGTTAAAAGTAAAATAATCAGGATGAGAGAGAGTGAAAAAAAAACGAAATAAAATGTAATTTTGTTTATGTTATACACAGTACGGCTAAACTCTTTATAACATGAATTTTCGGCATTCTCTTCGGGCCTTGATAATCAGAGATAATATGTACTCAAACTTTAATTATTCAGTGAGTAATCACATTAATTTTATGTAGAAAATGAAATAGAATAGAAATGAAATCTCAAAATAGGATAAAATCAATATTTTCGTGCTTTTTTTCTATAACTCGGATGTTTAACAACATTTGTAAATCGTGTAATTATTTTACCGCCAAAAAACATACAATCAAACAGGATATGAGTTAAAAAAGTGATTCGTGTAGTCGACAAAATAGTTCTTCTGTTCTTTCGACTTGGTTGTGCGATTTTGTAAACGTTCTATTCTGTAAGCTATTGTAGTCATCTAAAATCATTTTGAATTCCTTCAATGAAAGCGAAAAGCTCGTGTTTTACCGACTCTAAGCTATATGAAGCTGTCATCCTCTTCCTTGTCCATATAATCGATTGATAGTCGACGAAAATATTATTTATTTTTCTCTTATATTCAGTTTAACAGAAAAAGTGTACAGCCTGGTCACTTTAGAACCACTTTTTCTCTTGAGTTTGTATTGATATGCACAGTTAGTGGAAAAGTCAGCTTTTTGGAGCTTCTAGAAGACTTTCTGAAAAACTTGCTGAAATCTTCTATGAGCACCTTACTGTCATGTATTCTGACAGCAGACATCTTGGATTATCCAATAATGTGCTCAATACTTTGCTCAATACCGACTTTTCTTACAAAAATTTCGTATTTTTGAGAGGAGGGTGTTAACTTTTATTTAATCTATATACTTCACATCTAAGAATCAGGTTGCTTTACTCTTTCTTTATGGCTCTAGTAAAATTTAATCGAGATAACCTTGAATTTCTCTTCAAGACTCGATTACTCCATAAAAACTGGATGAATCTGTGGATTTTACAGCTGTATAGAATATATTATCGATTAAGCTTTATTGTTATAGAAGGAGCGTAAATACGAGTTTATTCAAGTATTCTATCGAGTCTTGAAGAGAAATTCAAGATTATCTCGACTAAATTTTATTTGAGTCATAAAGAAAGATACCGCTAATACTAAAAGAAGAGAATGATTGATCCCGTTAACAAAACAACAAGCATCATGATTCTCAAGTACCTTCTCATATCAAATTTACTTGATACTTACTGGTTAGTGGTTAGTGTGGACAGGAAACAAGACAAGTATGACCAGTAAATGGCTAACACTTAAAGGTACCCCCGTCTTTTTTCACCTTGTTGCCAAAAGCGAAGCACACGTCCAATTGAGCTCCAATTAATAGCAGAGACAGAACATCGAAAAAAAAATCGACGTATTTTTGCCCAGAATTTTCTGAGTTCTTATATGGGTTTTCTGGGAAACTCCAGTTTTCATCGGGTCACATTACGACCCCTCAAAAAAATGGTCCGATCGAGTTCAAAGTTCAATCTATTTTAATATACGCTATTACTCATTATACAATATTCTTGATTGTTACGTTAGTGCATCTCAACGACTAAAAGTTAAGCATGGTTGATAAACCATTTGGATAAAATGTTAGTGTAGAAACAATAACTTACCACGTTTCAACAATATATGGAACTTTTAAACAATGGTTATTTTTAGGTAGAGAAAGTGTTAGAGAATAGTGCTCCAGACTTATTGTGTAAAATTTCGTTTTTCTGTACACATAACATTTTGTTTGCTTGTGTCTAGATTTCTCTTTTGCGCTGTGCATATACAAAGTTTGAAAAACGTCAAAAATTAGTGCCGACATTAGCAAGTGACTCTGCCTAGAAATTTTTCTTTTTTTCAGGGAGTTTTGTATACGGTATCGGATTTCTCGCGGGAAACCTAATTGGAAAATGCTCTACTCCAGTATTATAACACTTACCTGAACGTTTTAGTAGAATCAGTTTTTGTTAGTTCTGCTGACGTTCTTCCGAAAGTTGAGGCTCCATTTCATCGTTTTCATAAGCAGCTGGATAAACAACTACTCGTATTACGTGATTTTAACACGTAACCAAAATAGTACTCTATCTAGCGAGGAAAATAGTATCTATTCAGTGCTATATAATACCACTTTGTCGTTCTGATATTGAGCTTTAATAAAAGTTTTATATGTGTGACAGTACTATATGTACTATTCCAAACGTGTGTTTCTTCTGTAAAAAAATACAGTTAATCTTGCATAACAAAAGAAGCATTTTCATCCAGAATAAAAACAAATTGTTTACAAGACAGCTTAGCAGAAACACAAATATGCAGTTTTATAAGATCAAATCACAAAAGTGTATCACAACAATCAATAAAGAAGACGCAGTTTATGCAAAAGTCAAACAAACCACAAGATTAGAAAGTCAACTTATTTTTGAATTCAGCTCACCTTTTACAACAACAGATACATCTACATTATTACACGTTAGATTTTGTTTTGTTCTTTCACCAGTCTTTATTTTACTTCAACTAACGTTTTAGCTTTTATACAGTTATTGATTTATGCACTTATCGAATTGTCATGAACTTTTATTCATTTATCCCCGTTAATACATAAAAACGGACTCTCTTCATGACAGCCGAAACTTCAGTGACCAACCGTAAACCATGTGGTTTTGATGTAGCACAATCATCGTGGAAACGGTGGCCAGCCTTATTATTGTGGTGGTGGATTTANATATGAGGTAAGAAATTTTCTAAGATTAAAACTTAGGCTCTTCTCGTTTCCACAGAAAGAATTCGAATAAAACTATTGACGGAATTCAAGGATGATCGCCTATCCGATATTAAAACTTGGCACTAAACGTCAATTAACAGATGATGATCTATCTGAACTCTCACCAAATGATGAATGTCGTCAACTACTGAATGCTTTCGAATCTGAACGTCTGAAACGTATAAACACAAGTACTTTAAAACTAATGTTTTCTACATTCTGGAGAGAGATGCTAGTTTGTAGCCTGTTATTATTACCGTATTCTGTAGTCAAAATCGCACAGCCACTACTCTTACGTCAAATTGTACTCGTCATTAACAATCCACTCGAACTGTCATACAAGGGTTACTTGTATGCTGTTGCGCTTGGTTTTGCGTCCGTAAGTCAGGCATTGGTACATCAACAGTATTTTTTTCGCTGCTACAGAGTGGGTATGCAAGTGCGAAATGCCATTTCATCTGCTGTATATAAACGAGTATTAACACTAAGAACAAATTCATTTATGAAAACAACAGCGGGTCAAGTTATTAATTTGGTGGCAAATGATGCAGGTAAATGTGAAGAATTTTGTATCTTTGTTCATTATCTATGGAGTGCACCTTTCGAAGCATTGGTTGTATTTGGGCTAATCTGGATTCAAATAGGCATACCCACTTTGTTTGGTTATGCTATTTTGATATTACTAATACCGGTCCAAGTGATATTTAGTCGAAAATTTGCAAGTTTTCGTGCAATGGAACTGTTCAAATATTTTGATCGCTTCCACTTTGCCTGCAGAAATACTAGTTGTTGTGTAGGATACTGTTCGGTGGCATATGATTAAACTCCCTCTATAAATAGCGTTAGTGGCGTAGTTTGGGAACCCTTTGAAATACTGTGCAGTGGACGGACAAGCGTGTGAAAATTGTCAATGAAATAGTGACGGGCTGTCAGCTCGTCAAAATGTATGGCTGGGAAAAACCATTAGAAGACGTTGTGCGAAATACTCGGGAAAATGAGTTTAAGAGTATTCGGCGAGCAACGCGCATTCGAGCATGTAATATGGCTATTTCTTTTGCTTCACTACCCATCATTTCTTTGGCTACATTCGGCAGTATTTGGTTAATGGGTCGTCAACTAACCGGCTCACAGATATTCACAGTACTGTCATTTTTCTCAATACTCCGCGCTCCGTTGACAAATTTTTTTCCCTTAAGTCTTGAGAGATTGAGTGAAGTTATAATTTCAACTAGACGAATCGATGAGTTTATGAATCTGTCGAAAGACGATGACAGTGAAAAAGACACAGACAATGCACATGGCAAGGACGAATTGGCAGGTACTGTACTAATGAACAAGGCATCCTTCTGTTGGGATGCTCAAAATCAGTCATGTTTATTGAAAGACATTGATATAAATGTAAAACAGGGTTCGCTAGTTGGTGTTATGGGATCAATTGGTTCCTGTAAATCGTCATTATTAATGGCTATCCTCGGTGAAATGAAACTTTCCTCAGGAACCAGTAGCTGTAATGGAACTTTTGCTTATGCCTCTCAGACGCCATGGATTTTTGCTGATACTATAAGAGAGAATATTCTATTCGGCAAGTCACTAAATCCTGAACGATATGCAAAAGTGTTACAGATCTGTTGTTTAATACCCGATATCGATTCAATGGTAGCTGGTGATCTAACGGTCATCGGTGAGAAGGGTGTGAATTTAAGGTTAGTAATTATCTATTAAATGATTGTTAATAAGCACGTGCCACGTATCTCTTTTAAGTGGTGGTCAGAGGGCAAGAGTTTCCTTGGCAAGAGCCATATATGATAAAGCCGATATTTATTTGTTTGATGATCCACTCGCAGCAGTTGATTCCACAGTTGCTCAGTCTATATTTGAAGATTGTATTGGTCCTGATGGATTTTTGAAGACAAAATCACGAATATTAGTTACACATCAAATAGAATTTTTGCCAAAAGCCGATCACTGTGTACTTCTAGATCGCGGTAGAATTAAAGGTCAAGGTCATTTCAATGACTTGTTGACATCAGCTGAAGAAGTAAAACTATTGTATGATCTGAGAAGGGCTCAATTTGATAGAGTAGCACAGAAAAGAAAGCATGTGGACACTGTGAAAGACGGAGTTACAACAGAGTCAGTTGTGAAACCGGATGAACATAGTATTGTAAAAGAGGAAGTGTCAGCCGGAGGTAACATTAGTGCTGGTGTGTGGATGAAATTATTTACAGCGAATCACGGATGGATTGGATTTGTGCCAATCGTAATTCTGATGTTCGTGGGTGAAGCACTATATGATGGAACTAATCGATGGCTTAGCAT